TTGGGATCTCTTGTGGCTGTCCTCAAATTAACCTGCATGAGAAGATGTAATAGCTAATGTGTAATTTGATAAATCAAACAGGCTGCAAAGAGATAATGAGGAACAGAAAGAACTATTTGTTTATTTCTCCGGGTCGAGTTTTTAAATGGAATGATACCATAGCATATTGAGTCATCTGAAGGGACAGTAGTAAAAAAAACGATATGAAACACGAAAGATAGATGTGGATTAGTCACTCGTATCACCTTAATGCCGTCTGAATTGGAAGTGAAGTATCTGGAGAGTGCTGGTTTGTGACTTAAAAGAGTATAGTGTTTCGACAGATTTGTGATGTCTGAAGCAGTAGTGATATAGGCTTGCCAAATGTGTAACACGCGACTTTTGATGCAAGTCGAGCAATCCAAGAATAAAGGGATATCAAGACAAAAAGAAAAGGGAATACAGAGAGCTGTAGGCATGCAAAATAGGAGATATAAAACGATCCCTAGAGCTTTAGTCCATCAGAAGTACAATAAAGTGCTCAGTAGTCAGTACTCTCTTATTCCATGAAGCACGTTGAATGCGGTTGTGACAATATAAAGTGCTCAGTGGTTGAGACACGCTTATGGCCGCTGACGGTTGAATGCACATGAAGCAACCCAAGAAGAATAAAGCCGATATCCTGAAAAGAATAACGAAAAATGCCCAGGCTAGTAAAGAATGAGTGATGCCTCAAGCCATAAAAAGAATTGCTTGTTCGATTCATCATTCTCTTTACTCATGTTGCTGCTTTTCTTTTTCGTCCCCACTTAAGAAACAATCCCTCAAACCAGTCTATATCTGTCGACTGTCAAAATCCCTTTGTTAACTCATACAAAGAACAGAAATGACCTATATATCTTCATTGTCACATTGATCCATTCAAAAAGAAAAAAAGAAAAGAATATATTAGTAAAACCATCCTATATAATATCTACACATTCTACAGTATCGAAAAGCTGAAAGAAATGGCTTTGATAGAAACATTTCTGCTCAATAAACTTGCAGATGCTATCAAAGAAGCTAAGTCCTTCCCTAGTTACAGCCATTTTGCTATCAAAGATGCTATCAAAGAAGCTAAGGACCTGGTGGAGAAACTACCCCAACAAACAGAGGCCGTTAGTTTAAATCTAAAAGAGAAGCTCTACTCTGCTAACAATCTCGTTCTGATCTTGAAAAATCACCAGAAATGGAACATAGAGTCCTCGCGTGCGGTCAGCCGCCTTCAAGACATCCTCAAAGAAATCAAAAGCGATATAGAAAACATCTCACACGCGAATTCTCCGCAGAAGGATCCGGAAGTCTATCGGTGGAGCACCCGTTTATTGGGCCCCACCGTAAAGATTTATGGGTACGAAGACAAGGCCATGGAGCGGCTTCTCGTGAGGCCCGAGAGAGAAAACGGACTAAAGGCGTTCGGGTTTTTCGGGATGGCAGGTGTCGGCAAGACAACACTCTGCCAGGCAATCTTCAATAACAGCGAAGTGGAAAAGCATTTTTTCCCGAGAATTTGGGTGTGCTTGTCTGGACAGCCCAAGCTCGACAAAACAAGCAGTACTTATATAGAGATGGTCCTGAAGAGGATCTTGACCGGTCTCGGGTTTGAAAAGGAGGTCCTAGATGAACTCAGCAGCCAAGAAGAAGGTAGTGTCCGAAGACTACTTTTCGCGCTCAGGCAGCAATTGCAAGGTAGAAAGTACTTGATCGTGCTCGACGATGTATGGAATCCGAACGAAGAGGTTCAGGCCTTTTTCTATTCGTTAAATCGAGAAGAAGAGGATAATAAAAATAAACTCTCGTACGGGTTGCCGAGAGGGAATGGAGAGGCGGTGATCGTGACCAGCAGGTTGGAAAAATTGGTGGAGAAAATCGTTGGCGGGAAAAACACGCACGGAATTTTTCCGCTCGAAAATAAAGATGACTGCTGGGAGATCCTCAAGAATGAGGTTAAGGAAGATGGGACTTTACCAGAGGAGCTAAAGGATTTGGTTGTGCAAAAGTGTGATGGCTTGCCGTTAGCTGCTAAGATTATGGGGAATATTGTTCACGAGAAGTTAGAGCAGAAAAAGGAAAAATCACCCGAACCAGTCGCGGCTGGAGATGACCATGCGTGATGCAAGAGGCGTAGATTTGTAGTAATCAACTGCCGTTTGTTTCACGCATCGTTTGATGTATCCATATTGTACCGTTTGATTGTGGCATTTGTGTTCATGGTGCTTGAATTTACTTATACTAGTATTGCTAAAAGTTCTTTATTGTGAATGTTTTAATAAAATTGTTTTCATCATCTTAATCTGGTAGTCACCAAGTTTCATTCTTGTTGAAGGCCACTCAGGCCAAGTATAATGAAGGAAAAAGGAAAACATAGTTTTTGTACAATTTACATGTACCTGTGCTGTTCTAGCTAGTCTCCAGTGTAGATTATCTTTGGTTTTGATGAATTTTAAAGTTGTCACTTTTCTTTGGTACTTCTTCATGAGGGGTAAAATTGTTGTCTTGACAAGTAATTTCCACCTGCAAAAATAAAGAGAGAACAACCCCAAGAAGGTGTTTTGTACAGTCATAAAGTTATCATTCCTTGCTTTGTGCTGTTTTCTTT